GCTGGGACAAAAGTAAGACAGACAGACAGACAGAAACAACAGACGGACACTAAAGAAGTAGGACCTACCAGTGGGGCCTTCCAACCACCAGGCTACACAGACATAATAATAAAGGGAAAGGAAAGAAAGTATAAACTAGCAGTGGCGCCCTCCAACCAGTCTCCCAACCCTCTATTTGCCATACCTTCTTCACACTAATAAACAGAACAAACAGAAAAATTAGGTGAACAGCAAAGCTAGCTTAGAAGACGAGAAATATTTCAATTCATTCTGTAATAATCATTTTAGGCATTCATTAAAAAAAGTACAAGACTTGAAAGAATTTCCAACCATTCTGCTTCCTTTTGCTTTATGTGAACCTCTTGTCCGACAGATCCACGCAATGAAAGAACGAACATGAAATGAAATTAGATGGTGTTGTTGTTAGTGGTGTGGGTTTTTTGGGTTTTTTTCTTCTTTCCTATGTTATTTTTAAAGAGTTGAACAAAACAAAAAAATGTTAATCTCTAAAAGCAATCGGAGACTGGGTCCCAGACGGGAAGCCGAACACAAAACAAAATCCGGGGTAAGAGCCTGTCGTCAGACCTAACGAGGACGCCGCTGAATACACCGCTCAACCTGGGCTCCGCTAATTGGCCAAAGTTTCTTTCAAATGTTTTGTTATCATTTTAGTTCCTGACCTCATTCCAAAACGGTACGCGGTTCCGGAAAATCGATTCGAGTGCCGAAGTGAGGCCAAGAGATGTTTGGTTGATGTTTGCGGGACGTCACATTGGTACTTTTTTTCTTTTCGTTTTGTATTGTGTTTTTTAAAGGTTTTTTAGTTGTTGTTATTGTTATTATTTCGTATTGTTGGTACTTTTCTTTGATTAGGAAAATTTGCGAGGCTTTTTTTTTCAAAAGAAAGATGCTTTTGAGGTCGTTGTTCGCCTGTTTATCCAGATTTTTTTAAGGTGAAAAAATCTGTATTTCATATTATGCAACGTTAGCCGAAATTTGATACGTCATCAGTGATCACAAATAGTATAAATATGTTCATACTAAAATGGGTTAGTTGGCGACAATATGTTCCTTTTTTTTTTTCAAAAGTGTTAGTTTCAGGAGGCCACGACTCCGTTTCGTAATGCACGTTGTTATTTATTATAAAACGTCAAGGTAATCCTTGACTGTTTATTTACGGAGACGTCCTGGAAAATCGATGACAGAAGTAGAAGTAGTTATTTTTGTCTACGTTCTCTAATGTACGGTCTTTAAGCGTGGGAGTCTCTCCGTAAGGGGGTCGGAGAGATGTCTAATGAGGAGAAAATGTTCTCGAGAAAACTTTGAGAGGACAGGGCAGGCTGGTTATAAATTGAACGACCGTAAATATTTTTTTAATAAAATTACATCACTTTTTAAGAAAAAAGTCTTTTTTTAATTTTCTTCCAGATATCAATGATTTACGCCTCCACCGACTCAATTTAGATCATGATTCAGGTGTCGGATTTTCACCCTGTCTGTCAGTGTGAACTGTCGGGGCGATGCCGGGCCGAGAGGGGTGCAGCGTCCCAGCAGACAGACCAAGAAACTCGATAACAATTTTGTTTTAGTAGAAAATAATTTTACGGCTCTTACAACACAATGAGGTCATAAAAGTGCCAAAGATAAGAGGTGTTACATGAGAGTAACAAAAACAAAAAGAAGTAGGAGAGATAAGGACGATAATTGTTTGATAGTAAGGAAGGAGCAAACCAGATTGGAGCACCCGCCAACCGCCTACGACGTGGACTTACGACGCGGACTTTGACCTTACCTGTCAGTGAGTAACTGTCAGAGCCACCCCGCACTGAGAGAGATACAACGTCCCAGCAAACAGACCCAGATACTCGATAAAGAAAATGTTTTTCATTTTCCCCACACGGGAATCGAACGAGCCTAATCGCCACACCTCACGCCCCGGCCAGGAGAGACTGTAAACTGATGGACCGTAAATGTTTTACACCACTATCTACGCTAATTAGACCTATTCGGAGGCCGGCTGCTTTGACCTTCTCTCTGCTGGTCAGGGACAACTTGTACAGA